CATTCTCAGCTTCCGTGGAAGCATACAGTGCAAGCAGCTGATTAAGTGCTCCAACACTAACAAACTGACAAGATCTTTCACTGTCTATAGCTGGGTACCCATTCCCACCTGGGTGAAGTGGGGAATACGTTTGGGATCAAAACTACGCGTGGACAACATAGATTCTGCTCCGTCGTTTTATTTTCTATCAAGCAGTTCCCTTCATGCCCTTACTTGTTTGTGTTGGTACCAAACCAATAGACCAGGGGGCTGTCATGGTCGAGAGCTTACTGTGTTTGCTTCTCATTCAATGGGTTCGAATCTGGACAGTGACAGAAAAAATTTTCCCCCTAAAATTTTCTCCTTTGACCTCCTTTCCTGCTCTTTGGCAATGTTCTGTCGTCTGCTTTCATTTCCACTTTCTGCCCCCTCCGCCCTCCCCTCCTTTGTCCCCTCCTCTGCGCTCCTGACTCTTTCTTTAGCCTTTCCACTGCTACTCCTTGGCTCCTTCTTACCGCTGTCTTTCAGCCACACCCCTCGTCTTATGGCAGATAGGATCTAACACCTAGCCTTCTCGGATAAAGGTGAAAAATCTCAGAGGTCCCGTGTGCAAGTTGCGCTTGTTAAAGATCCCTTGGTGGTCCAAAATCGATAAGAGTAGGCTTTGGCTGCCATCCGGGCAAAATTCAAAATTAGTCCCTCCTAGAACTAAAATGCTTAATGTGTCCCACGCACTTATATGACCGTCCATATGCAGGTGTGAGAGCCATAAAACACTTACCAAAATGTAAATGGCTGTCCTATCAGGTCATCAGTGGACGACACTCCCACAGTGCTGGGCCCGCTACAGCCCAACAGCACGGCAACAGCAGCGCAGGCGGCCGCAGACAAAACAGCAGGTGATGGAAAGACAGCTGCAGCAGCAGCGGCCGCGCCCAAACGAACAGTCTACAGCTTCTCACACTGGGCCAGGTCAGTTCTCTTCTTCCTCTTTTTGTCTGTTTATTGTATTTCTATCATTTTTTTTCGTTTCCCCTCTATAATTCTGTTGCTTTCCTCGTGGTGTAGATGGGTGTGGTTTTCATTTCAACATTGCTATTGTCTCTAGCTGTTCCTTGTAAAAATCCTGCCATTATTGCGCGGCCTTGCAATAGAGAGGACAGAATGTCATGTGTGTCAATCGGTAATAGACTCATTTTTCTCACTGGCCTCTGTGGTGTAGCGGAGGGGAACAACACTGTCTCATGCTGGAGACAGACCCAAGTTCAATTCCCGAGAGGAGAGATTTTTAAACGGGTATTTCCACCTTTCGTCTTAAAATGTTGTTTCCCTTTCAGCGTGGGTTGGCCGTGACAGACAGGGTTGGAGGCCGGCCTCCTAAATGACCTAAATTGTGTCGATGGGGGCGTTAAAACTCCTTTATAATAAAAAGATTTTCTCCTTTGATGCTTAGCTGTGCAATATTATAGCATTTTAAAATTGGCAACTTTGTAAATATGTTCTTTTGCTGTTTATTTTACTTATATTTTTTAATGTTTTTGACAAATTGTTTTTTGTTTTTTTTTTCTCTTTTTCACATCCATTGATGCTGCCAGATCGGGTGAGACACTGACAGTCTCTGCCAAGTCTCTGGATCTACTGTTCTACCCAGACTCTGTGGAGGTCTTTGTCAGTGGAGGTAATCATCACCATTAGTCAGTAATGATCACCATTAGTCAAATGACAGTGGTGTGGAAGTAATGATCACCATTAGTCAAATGTCAGTGGTGTGGAAGTAATGATCACCATTAGTCAAATGTCAGTGGTGTGGAAGTAATGATCACCATTAGTCAAATGACAGTGGTGTGGAAGTAATTATCACCATTAGTCAAATGACAGTGGAAGTAATTTTCACCAGTTACCAGTCGTGAAGTGAACTTTCGTAGAGGTGAACAACTTGTGTTTCGCGCGCCCATATGACCTTAGCAGTTGCGAGCGCCGTAAAACCTTATACTACTACTACTACTAATTTTCACCACTAATAGGTAATGTTCACCATATGTCAAATGTCAGTGGTGGAGGTAATGTTCACCATATGTCAAATGTCAGTGGTGGAGGCAATCTTCTCCATTAGTCAAATGACAGTGGAGGCAATCTTCATTTCTTTCCTTTTATTGTTTCTGTCTCTCTTTCCTTTTATTGTTTCTGTCTCTCTTTCCTTTTATTGTTTCTGTCTTTCTTTCCTTTTATTGTTTCTGTCTCTCTTTCCTCTTATTGTTTCTGTCTCTCTTTCCTTTTATTGTTTCTGTCTCTCTTTCCTTTTATTGTTTCTGTCTCTCTTTCCTTTTATTGTTTCTGTCTCTCTTTCCTTTTATTGTTTCTGTCTCTCTTTCCTTTTATTGTTTCTGTCTCTCTTTCTTGGTTCTTCTTAGCCCCAAATGACCACGACTGTGTCAGTGTGCTTCCCCTGACCTCAAAGAAACAAACAAATCCACACAAGAGGGGAGGACTGATTAAAATTACATTGTGTATGCTCAGTAAAGTTTCTCTCTCTCCTAGATGATATTTCTTGTGCTCAGAAAAGTTTCTCTCTCTCCTAGATGATATTTCTGGTGTTTAATAAAGCTTTTCTCTCTCTCTCTCCTAGATGATTTTTCTTGTGCCTAGTAAAGCTTTTCTCTCTCTCTCTCCTAGATATTTCTTGTGCCTAGTAAAGCTTTTCTCTCTCTCTCCTAGATGATATTTCTGGTGCTCAGTAAAGTTTATCTCTCTCTCCCTGTTTGCACTCGTATGATCTTATATGCAGTTGCAAGCGCTTGAAAACTCTTACTAAACTTAACTCTAACGGGGGTTTTTTCATCCGTTTCTTCATACTGCCCACTAATTGACTGTTTCCATCAGACGACTGTCCTGGCACGGTGGCCGAGCTGACCGGACGTAAGGGTGTGTTCATCGAGGGCAGCATCACTCCTGCCCTGGAGGGGGTCACGGTCACGGTGACGGCACAGGACGACTCGATGGAGCCCATCGTGGTGACCACACAGGCCTCGGGGAAATACCGGTGAGTGGACTTGTGCACGTGGCTGGGCCTGTGCTGCTGGGATTGATCCAGAACCATGGATATTTTTAATGTTTGATCGCTCAACAGAAAAATGTGAGGCAGCATGGTGAAGTCAGGCGCTCGTCAAAATGATGAAAGTGGAGAAACTGGCTTTTTTTTTTTTCGGTTTATGAATTTTTATCGATTTTTTGTTTTTTGGCTTAATATCGTTCATGCCCATTTAAGAACATTATTTCTATGTGAATTTTACTGAAAAATGTTGATTAAAGACACAAAAAATATAAATTTTCAGTTTCCACTGACTCTGTACCAAAGGAAATTACTAATCTTTGGCTGCCATTTTCTCATTAATTTTACCTCTGAACCCAGGCACCCCCCACCTCCTTCAATCGCAAATATTTCGTCTCCTATCCAAAACAGAAGAATATTATTTTCACCAAAAGGAAGGCGAGTGAACAGGCTTTAAGATATTTCCAATAATTCCATAGACCCAAAAATTGACCAGTGCCTGATTCCATTGCCTCGTGACTCCAATGATACTGTAAGTTTCTATTATTGTGCTTCTCTTCTGCTCAGGGGGTGGTTGGAGGGTGCATTTTGTAGGTTCTATTTCTATACAATTCCTGTTTTATCCACCAGTCTGTCAGCTTTTTCACTACAGTAAATGACTGTTATTGTATTGAAATGCTTCTCTTTACTCAAAAGGGAAAAAAAAACCCAACTCTGTGGGTGGTCGGCGGGTGCTCCTGGTGTGGTTTGCTCCTTCTTTCCTATCAAACGTCTATCGTCTTTATCTCCCCTCCTTGTTTGGTACTCCCTTGTAACACCTCTAATCTTTGGCACTTAAATGAGCTTATTGTGTTGCCAGTGCTGTAAAACTCTTACTAAAACTAAAAACACAAAAAAAACAAAAAAAACAACCAACAAACCAAAAAGCTGCTGTTGTGTGTCTTTGACTGTGTCGGGAGAAATGCTGCTGTTGCAGGGCTGCCAAGCTTTCCGGGGTTTTTTCGTAATGATTACGATTATTTAGCCTCACTGCGAAATTCCGATCGTAAGGAGATTTATTACGATTTTTACCGTCACCAAATTTTTGGCTATAAAAAAAATAATTTTTGGCTCTTTTTTTTATTTTACAAGTCTTAGTACAGACCTGTAAATCGTCCTCCGCCAATAGTCGGAAAACCGCCAATCTCTAAAT